CAGTAGGGACACTTGTGGTCCAATTGTTCTGATAAGCCAATGGCTTGAAGGAGGGGGCGTTAGAATTTGGACCCTAACTTTATTTATTGTCAAAAGCACTGCATAAATAAACAAGCATAAAACTGATAAAATAGAAGGAACACAAGCGGCTAAATAATTTTAGACCAAAAACGGGCAACAGCAACCGCATCATCTGTACCTTTAAACAGTTCTTCCTCTGTGCATGAGGCAGGACATTGTGGGCAAGCATTCAGATGTTGAGTTGTTTGTTCTGCTCCTGGAGGATTCCTCTAAGAAGTGCCATTTAGCCAAGTTGTATTTTGATCTCCCAACACCACTTCTGAGTCTGTTCAGGGACTTCCAAGTTGCCCATTTTTGGTTTGCCCCTGCAAGCAGACCCTCTTGGGGGGCCATTTGGGATTTTCGAGTTTAGCTGCCCAGAGGGATACTCTTGTTGTTGCTGGGGGAACATTAAGGGAAGTGGTGGTTCTCATTAAACTTTTTCTTGATTTGAGTCTACTGGGTGGAGGCCGATAGCTATGCAGTGGATGGCTTTCAGTGTTCAACCTTATTTCTCTCACAGTTGACAACAACTTCCCATTGCACATTGGTGGTGGTGGTGGTAGGGTGGAGGGCAGTGCCAACTAGCTTATAGTCTGTCAACAGGTGTAGGTTTGAGACATTCTGTGATTATTCTACATGTTTTATTCAGTGCTATACCTGCTTTGCATGGGTAGACTTGTGCCAAACAGAGCAGGCATACTCAGCAGTTGAGTAAGACAAGACAAGGGCTGATGTTCTTATTAATTTTGGGTCTGCACGCCATGTGCTACCAGTAAGTTTCCACAGAATGTTATTGCATGTAGCTACTTTGTGCTTGGTGTTCATACAGTATTTCCCAAATGTTAGTGTTTGATCTAAGGTGGAACAATGTTTGAGCTCTTGGCCTTCCCAGGTAACTTTTAATTGGCTTCACGGTTATGTAGGTGGAAAGCACACACTTGTGTCTTGGCAGTTAGGCTTCGGGTAGTTATTTTTGTAGTAGCTGGAGAGATCTACAAATATGGTGGGATATTGATGGTGGACAACTTTCTCATCTCCTCTTCATAGACAATTGTCTATAGATTTTTTGTCAAAAATCCAGAAGATTTACAACATGAACTCCAACATGACTGGAAATGAACTTGAAGAAAACGAAATGGATGAAATATGAGCAGTGTGTCCAGGGCCAGATCGTTATAAATGGAGATGAAATTGAGGAAGTGACTGAATATGTTTATCTTGGTCTACAAGTACAGTCAAATAATTTTGCAAATGGCGAAAGGGCATGAAGATGCAAGGCTGCTTGGATGGCTTTTCATCGAAACTGGACAGAACTAACAGATGATAAGCTGCCAATGAAGATCAGAGCAAATATCTCCCAACACTTCAGTCTTACCAGCAATGTTATACACATCTGAAACATGGGAAACGACAAAGTTACAGGAGGTAAAACTGGTGGTGACTCAGAGAGCAACGGAAAGAGAGATGTGTGGCATGACAATAAGAGTTTATAAAGTCAACAATAAAGAGCTGCGTCAAAGAACCGGGAAACGTGAGGTGGTCAATGAAATCTATGAGGCAAAAAGAAGATAGGCAGGGAATATAGCATGGACATATCGACTAACAAAATGGATACCAAGAGACCACCAGTGATCCTTGGGCAGACCTCGTACTAATGGGACAAACCAATAGTTAAGCTATTCGGCCAGAAATGGAAAAGAAAATCACAGGATTGTATATTGTAGCAAATGGTTAATTTGTGTGAAGCCCAAAGGAGTGGATCAACTACAAATCGTATAGAACTGCAGGACTAATATAGCAACTTTTCTCATGCTAACTTAAGTTGCTAACCTAGTTAAACTGGAGGGAAATAAAGAGTTTATGTGAAAAGATCTATCAGGTATGTCATAATATTGAAAATAAATTCCTGAGTTAATTCACCCTGAGCACATTATTTTGCATCTTGTTCAAGCAGGTGAATCTCAGGTTTTTATTAAACACTCTCTCAAACACAGACGGTGCTGCAATGTGGAAGTGTGTGTACATCTGCTTTAGACTATGCAGTCTGGGTTCAAGTCCTGAGAATTCTCTTCACCTGATACGATAATCCATCGTTTTACCTACGATGGGGCCTGGACTCAAATGTCCTGTTTCTCAGCTATTCAACAAATGGAAGTTGCCACTGTGGGTCTTAACTTACACTTTCCAGATCTCTTTTGCTTTTTTCCTTTTTGCCCTGACAAGCCCCCCCCCCCTTTAAACTTTAGTAATAGACCAAGAAAAGCTTTTATTTAAGTTTTAAAAGTTTTTAATTGAAATTAACTATTCAATGTGTTGAAGGTTCTATCCTTTCTGTGTAGTTTGCAGTCAAAAGAGATTTTGAAAGAGCAGTCTTTGCAAGTGAATGATAGGAATTTAAACCCTAATGTTTGGAAATTCCTGGGGAATCTCAGAGGAAGGATTCTTATTATCTTGTTATTCAAAAAGTCTTTGGGGAAGTATACTCTGTGGCCTGAAGCCAAATTCCGATTTGGGAAGGGCCTCCAGAACTACCTCAATCAGTGGGGCAGGGGTGAGGTCATGAGGATGGACTGAGGCAAAATGGCTCTGGCCAAACCTAATCCAACCAACCGGGATACAATGCATATGTATTATTTTGAAGGAAGCCCCAATGCAACACCTTCCCAAGCTACAAATAACATAGACATTATTGTCAATTAAGAAGGCCCAGTGGACCAGTCTTGTAGGTTACAAAAGTGAACTAGGTTTCATGGAAGACTTCTGAGTTTTAAAAATGCTTTTTTCAGTGCATGGACTGTGGAGTCTGCTTTTCTGTGTTAAGAGGTTGCCATCATCATGCCAGGTGTGGTGTACATGCCAGTGGTTGTTAAAATGTTGTTTGTAGAGGCGGCAATATGTTCACTTAGCAGTTTTTGTCCCATTCAGTCCCCAAAAGTGGTTTTTTCACATACAGCCCAGGTCTAGGAAATTATACTAATTATGTGGTGTATTAGGGGCCTTCTGGTATACTGGCACAGCAGTATGGTCTGGCTCTGAAAGTAAAAAATATTGATAACTAATTTGTTTTTAATGCACTGTATCTCCCTCTATGAACCATCTCAGAGATTAAGATCTTCTGGGGAGGTCCTGCCTCCTTCGCAGCTGCGGTTGATGGAGACAAGAGACAGCGCCTTTTCAGTGATGGCCCCTTGCCTATGGAATTCCTTCCCCAGCAAAATTAGAGCAGCTCCCTCCCTCCTGACCTTCAGGATGAAAGTAAAATCTTAGTTATGGGACTAAGCTTTTGGATAGAAGCTTAGTGCAGTATGAGAATATGGAATAGTGATATGAGAAAAGGAACGGCTTTGGATTACAATTTTGGATGGTGTGATTTTAATAATTTAGTTTTCAAAATGATGTGTTTTTAACTTTACGGTTTTAAAGTACTTGTTTATTTTATTGTTTGTGTGCTAAGGACATCCAATTACTGCCTATTTGTAAGGCCGCTCTGAGTCCCCTACTGGGTGAGAAGGGTGGGATATAAATGTAGTAAATAACTAAATAGTAAATAAAAAATTATCAGTAGTTCAGTATAACTTAGTATGGAACAATACATGGAAGCAATTTGATGGCAAGTATTTTCTGTACTTTGGGGACTCTTCATAGTAAGGGTGCCTCATTAAGAGACACAGATTACTGAAAGCCATGGTGTGCACATTCAGCATTATCCGGTTTGAAAGTCTGCAAGAATAGGTAGGCCCTTATCAGTTAAGCCCTTTTTATAATGGCTGTGCTAGCTGGATGCTGAGATTTGTAGTCCACGTCTACTCAGGGCTGCAGTAACTAATGGCTCCAGATTAAATGCAACCACTGGAAATAAAAAAGGTAAAGATTTCCTCTTGACATTAAGTCTAGTCGTGTCCAACTCTGGGGGTTGGTGCTCATCTCCATTTCTAAGCCAAAGAGCCGGTGTTGTCTGTAGACACCTCCATGGTCATGTGGCCAGCATGACTGCATGGAGCACTGTTACCTTCCCTCCAAAGCGGTACCTATTGATCTACTCACATTTGCATGTTTTTATCTACATGATAAGATCTACAGAGACACTCGCTGGAACACCTCAGCAAGCGAGAGTCCAAAAGTGGCAGGCTCAAACCCA